GTCCCCACTCCCACCACAGCCCAGGAGGCCTATAACAAATAGAAGCCCCCGATTTGAGGTGTAGCTCAACCTTTGACCACTAGAGGTCTCCTGGAAAGCAATGACCCGTGTAACCCGGTTTATCCTCTTTCAAACCAATAGACTTGTTGCACAGAGACTTGGCGAGCCTGCTCTGCGGGAGGCCGCCTTATTAATATCACCACCCACCCCCGCGATCATGATGGCGCCAGGCTTGGAGGCTTGGAACCAGGCGGTGGCTGACCCTTAGACAGCGCTGATTTTAATCCACAAATTAATCTGCGCATTCTAGGGCGACCCCCTCCAACCCTACTTCTTGACCAATCTAAAGGGGAGAACGCCCCTAACTCGAGGTTTCCAGGTGGGCAGCGCGGAGACCTTCCGACTTCCAAACCGTGACAGACTAGCCAAGGGACCAGTGTTCAGAATCGCCTAGTATCAATCAGGTCCACCAACAGGCAGAATCTACGCCCCCGCTTTGCCCCACTCATCCCCTGCTGTCCCCCACTCCTTCTTTCCCTTTTGCGTCGGGATGGTCAAAGTGGCCTGGGCTCTAACCCGTGAGAGGACATCAGAGAATCATTCCCTGTCCCTGTTCTCATCTGTGTGGTATTTTCTAGAAAAATTAGCAGCGACTAGCCGGAAGAGGGAAGAAAAAAAGGGGGGAGGGGGCAATGAGGGGGAGCACGCAAGGAAACAGCCAGGTTGAATTCCCAGTCTTTATCAAGCAATTCGTTCACCAATGAAAGAAAGCTGCAGTGGCAGATTCGAGCCACATGCGGTAGTGTGTAGCAATTAGTAGATAAAATGCTGACTAAAGTGCTAAAACATGAAGTATTACTGTAGCCAAGGTCAAAAATGCTTCAGTTGTCTTTTGCAATTTGGGGGAGGGGAGGCCCAGGGGTTCGCAGAGAGATTTGCATTTTCGAAATGGTCGCCTTCTTTCCTCAAACTATACTTTTTTTTTTTTATGATCCTGTTTATTATAGTCCAAGCTGCCTAATTATGTCACTGCTGGTTTTTGCAACTAACTTAATCCTCCTGATCCTTTATGAACCGATTCACAGACACTGAATAATGTGTTTCTGCTCCTCCACCCCCTTGGATGGTTTTCCTTTTTTTTTTTTTAACCTTCTAAATATATCAGATAACTTTAAACAGAGAGTTGGATTTTTGTCTAATAAAGTAGTAAGAATATAGATGTGTAGGTATGGGTCACTATGTTTCAGCACAAGAAAGAGCCCAGAAATAGCGGGTCATATAAACAGATACTGCTTTCCCCCTCCTCTTTTATACACAGTGAGTTCCAGCTACAAGCTTTTTTATAGATAAATAAAGCAGTTGCTTTCATGATAACTGTCTTGAATGGATTGTCTTCTTACAACATTCAATCTGTTTATGAGTATTTACTTTACATTAGCCCAGGGACCCTGCACTGCAGGAGTTTGCCTCTATTCCCCTGGGTGTCGGTGTCTCAAGTCTTACATCTGCTCTGTGATTGATGGAGCCTTGAATCCACGTTATTACTCTCTCACAAGCAGAAATCAAACAGGCTATTAACTACATTACTTCAAAGAACTGTTTCAATACAATCTCCTTATCTTAATTGAAACTTTCTTTGTATGGATATTTGCTACACAGATAATTTACAGGTGCCTATCAAGCATCACATTAAAGAAGAGGTAAAATAGAGGAGGGGGGCTTGAGGGGGGAACCACTATTGTGATCTGTAAATTTAAAAGCCATTCACAGTATTGGATTGAGGTTTGATTTATTCGATTTATTATGTTCGTGGGACTGGTGCTCACAGTATTGTCAAAAAAGGGGGAAGATACCCTTGTGATTCAATTTTGAAATTTAGCATTCATCTGATTACTAAAATGCAGATATTCAAAAATATTCAGACTGACTGAGGCCCCTGCAATTGTTAACATCTCAAAAAACCTTATCTGAAAGATTAGGCAGCATACAGCCTGGTGCAGAGTCTACCTTGAAGAGACAGAAAAAGGTTTCTAATTAGAGGAAGGTGGTTACAGACACTTAAAGACTTACAGCACCAAAGACAGTAGAAGTTGCTTAAATGCTGTTAAGAGCTGTGTATTTTTTAAGAGAGAGATTTAATATCTAATCGAGGGATCCCCTCAGGCATTTTGTTGAGGTTTCCTGTAAAAATGCTACTGCATTGGTCATACAGGAAACTGACTCAGAGTCCATCTCAAATAAGATCTTGTCAAAATACTGCAACTCAAGTTTTTAAATATAAGATTTCTTGAACTGAATGTATATATTTACGCTAACAGGACAGAGATGAACAGAAGCCTGAGGCGTATATTATGTATTTTTGGAAAAAAAATGTTAAGTGCCCTTCAGTCAAGTCCATTCATATGTTAAAAATGAATAAAATGGGTTATTCTAATCAAACATCTTCAGTATACATCATAAAGTTAAAAAGAGAGAGAGAGGAGGAGGAGAGGGCTGTAATTTCTCTTTGTAACCCATGTTTATAAAATAGGAAGATCAGATGAAATTTCAAAGAAGATAATTAAAGAGTGATGTACAAGTCATAATTTGGCTAATGCAAAAGATGGGAGACTGTAAATTGTTACATTGTCCTCCTCCAAGGCGCAGAGTTGTGATATTACTTTAAATTATTAAAATAGTTTTCGACTGCTTTCAGAATACGGGTCTTTGGCATGGACTTTTATTACTTATTGTAATTGGAGGATCTGCCATTTTCTTTGGTTTATCTCTGTGTATATAGAAACGAGATAGATCTTGCCTTTTATTACTTCCCCATGTTCTGAATCAAAAATGTGGTTTAGATAATGTTAAGTGCCCTAATTCTTACTGCAGCGGACGCAGACATTATGGAAAAGCATAAAAACACACACAGGGTCTTTCCACCTCAAGTCACTGAATATGAGGCATTTGTGCTCTGCCGAGTGTATTAACTTCAGCCATGTGAATATAATTTTCATTAAAGTAATCCTGTTTCAACTAGATGCTGTGACTAGAGGTGAAACGTTGCGAAAGCGTTAAAAATAGCTTACTAGTAATTTCAACATCCTGTAATTTTATCACAGATCAAGTTTCAACTGTCATACTATACAGACCTTATTCCCCATATAGTACATGTTTACTTTTTTAGCATGCCAGACCCACTTTGGAAAGATTGGTGCCAATATAATAAAATCGCACGGGGGGGCGGGGGAGTGCTGGAAGAGTGGGAGGAGAGCGGGGAAGGGGTGGGGGAACGCGGGGGAAGCGAGTACACCATTTTACATCAACACTGCGAAAATGCAATCTAGCCTGGCGGAGGACCGGCAGCTGGGTCGGAGCGAGCGAGGGCTTTGCAGTCTGCCTGTTCCTTGTTCTGTCGCTCTTAAGTTTCTCTGTGTTTGCATAATAGCCGTGCATGCAAACCTCGCAATGCTCCAGGGCTCCAGAACAATAAATACACACATTTAAAGCCTTTATTGTCTTACGGTTCATGCCCCCGGTTTTCAACAGCTTAATTTCTGGTTGTATTTAACTAGTTTGCAAATGGATTTTTTCAGTTTCAAACTGTTATTGAGGAAGCTCCCCTCCCCTTTTTTTTTTGGGCGGGGGAGGGGTGGGGGTGGGGTAGTAGTCGGTATATTATTCCTGTAGCGCTGGGTTATATAAACACATTATCATTTGAGAGCGCCCTTGGCGTCCATCAGCAGTGTAAACACGTACTAGTGTATATACTTCAAAATTAAAGAATGCACACGCAGAACCCGGAGCCTGAATTCATATTCCGAGCAGACTCGCTGCTCGCATTTATTGATTTATCATGCATCGTTTATTGTTCCAGTCCCTAAATGCAGTCGCTGTCCGTTCAATATTATTTGCAAAATCCTGAGATGTGTGTGCTTTGCTCAGTTGTCTTTCTGTTCTTTTTTTTTTTTTGCTGAGTATTTTTTTGCGAAGCGAACAAATGCATTAATATTTATATGTTTATATAATCGATAACCCACTTTTCCTTTCCATGTAAATAGGCATCAAAAGATAATTTAACAGATTAGTTCTCGAAAACATGGCAGTGAGGAAGCGTAATTTAACTATCAAACAAATCTACATGTCTAATAACAGCAAATCTGCTAAGGAGCATTAGAGAGAGGAGCAGCGCCCCGGAATCTCTGCAGGAAATGTTCTTTATATTAGACATATACAAGCAGGTCCTGTCAGATACACAGAGGAGCTCTCTACCCCTGGTCTCCTCCAAAAATCTCATCACAGCATTCTCTTAGACAGGGGCAGTTGGAAAGAGAAACATCTCATATTTGCACACTTTCAGGGTGGATTTTATTTTTTTACAATCTTCTTATCTCTTTTTTGCCTTGATCCATTCGCTTCCCGCCGAGATTGCACGTAGCCTTTCTCCCGATTATGAATTTGATCAACCCATATTTGGAAGGAAACCCACCTAGTTTTGACAGTACTTGAAAATTGAGTGGTCAGAGAAATATTAGGACATATTTTTAATCATTTTGGTGCCGAAGGGGAAGCAAGAGCTCAGTTTTATATTGAGACATTACGGCAGCTGAAGGCAGAGAATGTTTTTCCCTGCCAGGACCTGATGCAATCCATTCAAGCCAACAAGTTTGGAGAGAATGTTGAGTTCAATCAATTCAGAACGTCGAGATGGAGCCCAACTCACTCCAGGTATTTCGCTCTCCTCCGCTCCTCCGATCCCGGCACCCACAGGCACCCCCCAGCCCTCCAGCTCATCCACACCTCAGCACCCACCCACACCTCCCACAAACTTTTCACCAAACTTTTACCCTCTGCATCCCCCCAAATAATTTTTATTGTTTAAAAATATCCCCGCACTGATCATACATACATAAATGTAATTTTACCGCCTCCGATGGGGAGGTAGGGAGGGGTGGCTGTGGGGAGGGGGACCTGGAGTTTTTTTTTTTTTTTTTAAGGGAGGCAGAAAATTTGTGGGCTCTATGATTTTTCCACCCAGTGTTATATCTGTGGGTTCGTCTGTATTAAGAGTGTGGATGTCTGTGTGTAAATCTGTCTGGGAATAGATGTTTGTTCTGATGGCTACATTATTTATTTGGTGCCTTTTTTTTTTTCCCCTGCAGTGGGTCGGCTCACCGTGTGGCTTGCACGGACCTTACATTTTCTACAAGGCTTTTCAATTCCACCTTGAAGGCAAACCAAGAATTTTGTCCCTTGGCGACTTTTTCTTTGTAAGATGTACGCCAAAGGATCCGATTTGCATAGCGGAGCTCCAGCTGTTGTGGGAAGAAAGGACCAGCCGGCAACTTTTATCCAGCTCTAAACTTTATTTTCTCCCCGAAGACACTCCCCAGGGCAGAAATAGCGACCATGGCGAGGTGGTAAACCTATCTCTCCCTCTCTTCTTTCTTTATTATTTTTCCCCCTAGTAATGCTTATTACAGGGCAAGCTTGAAAATACTGTATTCACTTCTGCAGGCGAGCAGGATCGACTTCTTTTTTAAAGGGGTAGCGCCACTAGCTGGGGCTGGAGTATTTTGCCATTGTCAGAGTTTGGCTGTCAGCTTTACAAAGAGGATCCAACTGCTGATTTTAGTCAAGATCAAATAACTTGTTCGAGAAGGGTTTTGTTCAGGGGTGTGTGCGCGCGCGTGCGTGTGGTGTGTGTGTGTGTGTGTGTGTGTGATTGCTAGCTCTTATCCTGTTACCGCCGCTTAAACATCACATTATTTTTTATATTTTTTTGCTTTTTGAAAATTTACCTTCGTGTCTGGCTCGGTCGGGGCTGGGTGGATTTCTTTCGATGGGTTTCGATATTGTTCACGTTTTTTTTTTTTTAAGTAAGTATTTGATATGTTTAAGAGGGCGGAAATTACGAAATGGAGGCAGAATGAGATCAAAAGCTATTGAGTTGGCAAAGACGTGTTGAATAAAGTGATAAATGACAGGTACTGGAATAATACATTCAAATAACTTGCAGATCTGCCCGGGCGGATTTCAAAGCGGTCGTGTAACCGGCACAAACACGTTAAGCATTAACAACTATCTCTCGCCCACTCCCCCTCCCTCCCTCCCTCCCCCCCTCCCCCAGCCATTTGATGTTCTAGTTTTCAATTACTCCACGCAAAGTGGACGTCTTCCAGCGCGATCTTCGGGGGTGTGTGGGACAGGGCGGGGGGCGGGCGGGAGGGCAGAGGGGTGTGTGCTCCCCCACTGGCCTGCGAGTCCGGGCCCTTGGTGCCCAGACGGCACTCTCGCGGAGGGCGGGGAGGGACCGAGCCTCCCGGCACGTTTCTGGGCGGCCTCGGGGGCGCTCGCCGCGCTCCCGGGAGGACGCCGGAGGTGAGCCCGCTGTCACCGGGCGCCGGGGCGGCCGCCTCCCTTAGGCTATGACATTTCATGTGTGACCGCAGTTCTGTGGGCTCCCCTTGTCAGCTGGCGGACCTCAGCGCCGTGGTACCTATCGGGGGAACTATTTTGGGGAGTCTGTGCCCAGGCGCAGCGGGGAGGGAGGGCGCACCTCCGCCTGGCAAGGCTTTGTGTTGCCAAAGCGAGAGCAGGGTAAATCAAACTGAGACTTTTGAGGGCAGCTCGCTCGGTGCCAGGCTCGCGAGCTTTCGAGGTAGGTCTAAGGATCTTTTTGTTAAATGAATGGTTCCCCCGTTTTAACTCATCCCGGGGCTGGGAGCTGCCAGTCCTTGCAGAAATCCTTGATCTGCTGATAGAGTTGATTGTACTTTTGGCCTCGCCGGCTCACTCTCACCCCCTGCCCCCCACGCCCCCAGGATCGAATTACCCATCAGTGGTCTATGCGGGTTAATTACTGGAGTTCTTCAAAACGTTAGCCCTGGAATCTGCCGTTTCGGAAATAAGCCCCTCCCACCTCCCCGCACACACCCCTCCCCCGCCCTCTCCCGGCAGCTTTGGGTTTTAAACGTTCATATTTCCCTTAGTCCGCCTGAAATTTTATAAAGGTGTTGTTTGGAAATACTGTGAAAAAAAAAAAATCCTGCAGCCTACCAACAGGTTGAGCTCTTTTCCCCTCCTAAGGTCTCTCTCGGCCCCCTCCCCCGACCCAACTTTCCTGCGCAGCTGTCTTCCTTCCCCTCCCCCTCCTGATTTCTTATTATTTGCTTTTCAAATTTATTACTTCAACATGGCCTGTGATCTGGAAAAGGGAAGGATTAAATATCCAGAAAAGAACTGGTGCCTAATAGACTTCTGACTAAACCCAGTAGGAAATTATTCAGTATTTTATGGGATATTTTGTGGTCACTTTTTTTTTAAATTAAAATTGAAATATTTTTTAAAGACCCCAAATTGACCCTACTGGGTCCAGTTGGTGTAAGTAAATAGCTAATTCTTATTTAAGAATAAAAGCTACATCCACCAAAGATTACATCTGTTAGAATTGTTGACTGAATAGATACATTGTTAAATACACGATTTCCTTTTAATTGTTCATTATGGGGAATTGGAAGTGAACCATTGTAATGATCTACGCATTTCGTCACTGCTATATGAGCCATACCTGCGAAAATTAATCTTGCCACTTAAAAGTAAACTCTAGGGGGTTTGCGGAGGTAGATGGCTCTATTTATAATCCTCAGCTGCATATACATCGTCTCATATTATGCATGATTTGTTTTTTAATGCTAACACGGATGGTAATTAGCTGTATGATTATACTTGTATATTTCATTAGGACTTTGGCTGATGTCATTGTGAATTATTCAGCCATATTAAAACAATTTTCAATTGAGATAATGACACGCCTCAAAATTATGCAAATGCAGACTGCATTGTGCAAAATAATTATGACAAATGTAAAGCAGGTAGAAAGTTTCCCAATGCAGATCGGCTTTCCATCCTAGTGATGTCATTTCCCCCCTGGCCTAAGTTAGTCATTCATTAGCAGAGTAGCAGCAGCAGGCTCCTGGAGGAGAGGCTACAGAAACCAGCATTTACTGCTGGCACCTAGAGGGGGCAACAGGGCCCTCTCATTAAGAAATTTGCTTTGTTTTCACTTACTCCATTAACTTGTTTATATACACTGAAATGGTTTTTATTATTGATTTTAAATAGTTTTGAATGATGCATTTGCCATTTGCAATATGTAACTGAAAGAGAAAGGTTTCTTGGTGATATGCACTGTTTCTTGGAGAAAATGTTCAGCACATTTAATCAGCCAATGCAGTTTATTTTAAGTAACCAAATGGAGGTTAATAATTTCGATTGAGTTGACATCAGCATCCATCTCAAAAGGACAGACAGGACTCAGTATGCTTTTTTTGGTTTAAAAGAATCAGTGTGCCTTTTTATGATGTCTTGAAATGTAAAAGACGTCATTTCTAAAAGCAGGAAAATGAGCATTGTGCAAGTTTAGAAATAGCGTCCCTGTGTGGTTTGCTGTGATTTGCAGAGGACTTTTTTTTGGAGCGTTTTCTCATTGAACCTCGTATTCATTGTATACCCATTTTATAGATAGGGACATGGAAAGGTTTTGTTGTTTGCCAAAGGTTGCCTTACTAGCACCCGGTCCTCCTTAATCTTTAAGGTTGTCCCATCTTCCACCAGTGAAACCAGAGATTGGCTGCACATTAGATTCTAGAAACATATACTGACATGGGCAGTCCCTTGTACATTTTAAAACTATGATTAGTCACTGCTTTGCCACTGTCTCCAGATACTTGGGCAGCAAAAACATTCTTATTCTATAAAGCCCAGCTAATTGTAGCCAGTGGTATACAGCAGTTATAGCTTAAGTTATTAATCATCATTAACAACTTACTATTAACTTTAATAATGATGGTGATGATTTGCATGCTTATATATACCACTGCCATCGTACATTTTCAGTGCTGGCAAGTGGTATTGGAAGTTTCCAACATGAGGTGCATTTCGAATCTACAACTTACTATTCATTTGACCTTAAACGATCATAAATACTTTGAGCCCCAGTTTTCTCAGCTGCACAATGGGAACAATAGTAAGAGGAAACTTGTGAAGATCAAGAAGTATTATGAGGGTAAAAGCGCTGTGTATATTGTAAAGTACTTAAAGAGAAAGGGGTTATGATTATAGTGGTCTTTGTTCTGGACAGTCTTACTTTTATACAAAATAACAATGCATAATAACTTCTGGGTCTACATGGAGGTCCTTGGACCTAATCATGATACTGTCTTAAATTACCATGAAAGTGCATAGCAGGGCCATGTGCAAGGAGTTAAGTGTCTTTGGTAATTACCCACAATTGCCACATTCAGTCAGTAGCTCTTGAGAGGAGAAAAATGGCAAAGTAGGCGGGTAATTGGTTCTGTTACTGGGTAACTTCTGATTACATTCATTTTCAAATTGCCAAGTGCTTAATCTATTGGCAATATGCTCTCTTAAAATAGGTGGATGTGCAAGCTTGAATTTCAGCCTGACCAGTGAAGGCTTGGGTTTTAAAGGAGAGTTTGCTGTTTACCTGGAAGTGTGGAAGTGGGTGTCTAGGAGAATGCTGCCAGGGAGTCAAGATCAAGCGTCCCCTGAGTGTTTTATTAGATTTTAGCATGCATTCAATATTTCTAACAGTATTTAGCTATTGCCATCCAGTATAAGCCATCCAGTATACCATACCAACCAGTATGAACCCTGAATAGCCACTAGTTAAAAATGGGCAAAAATGCATATTCTGGGGTCCCCTATTGAAATTAACGCAATTAGAATCTCTGGAATTTGGTCAAGGGTTCTAAATTTTAAATATTTTAGACAGTCCCACTCTAGCTCTGTGATCTTCGGCAAGTTCTGAGGCATTCTTTTTGGTGCCTCAGTTTTGTCATCTATAAAGTGGAACTACAGTATTTACTTCCAAGGATCTTTTTAAGGACTAAACAAGTTAATATGTGAAAAGTACGTACAACAAAAGTTGACATATAGTAGATACTTTCATAATGACTGTTATTAATGTTAGTATTGTTCTACTGAAGTTTGAGAACACTACTCAGACTTTCTTGCCTCTGTATGTTTGGTTTAGCTGTGTTGCCAAAATGGAAAGTTTCTTAAGAATTTTCATTTTCCTACTAAAGTATGTTGTCAACTGGATCAGCAGGATTTTTCCTTTAAAGATTGCCTAATTTGATCATATCTGGGATTAGGCAGACATATTCTGGAATCTAGTTTGGCCTTTCCCTTCTCTTTGCACAGTCCCTCAGTCTCGGTCTATCCATAAGCTGATTTTTTTGAGACTTTTCTGAGACCCTTTAACTGACCTCACTGTTTTTAAACTATAATAACTTTTCTGAGCCTCAGTTTCTTCATCTACACAATGGATTTAATGATCTCTGCTGACAAATTTGAGATAATAATGAAAAGATCCTGGTACCTACCATAGTAC